CCGCCCGCGTGGCAGGCGAGCATTCTACCACTGAACCACCGACGCTCACTTTGTCACTACTAATCACTCAGATTCAATTTGAAAATTCAGTCTTGAAAAAAATTGATGTTGAAAATTTGCTCTGAAACAGTTCATTGACCTGGATTGTTCTCTACCGGTTCTTCCAGTTCTGCTCTCTTTCTGGCTCGTTCCTCCTCTTCTTTTTGTTGTCTTTCACTTTCCCTTTGACATTCCTCCATAAATTCAGCAAACTCTCCGCAGTTTTCTATTAAGGTGTCGAATTTGCCGATCTCAGCGATTTTACCATCTAAATTATTGATCAGTACTTCAGTTAACAGTCAACCTCAAATTAGTGGCTCATCACCTTGTGAGTGTTCTCAAAATTGATAGGAATTTCTGGCTCTTCAAAAGATGTAATAAAGTTGAAAAGACATTTTTGTCAACGCAAAATGTCTTTTGCAAAAAAAAGGTCAATGCAAAACAAAATTATTTTGCTACATATTTCTATCCCATTACACATCAATACTATTCCAAAGTGTTAATAAATGCATGATGTTACGGAAGTCAGCTCGTTTGCATATGCGCTCACAAATGTGCAAATAACTCAGAATCTGTAATTTTTGAGTATGAATCTTCTTGACACCAGAATGTAAATCTTATTCTCATAGCTCAGTATCTGCTCTATCCGAAGCTATAACAAGAATTCTGAAGTTAGCCATTAGCTCTAAGCGCACACTAAGACCTCAGACAGGTCATACTTAGCTAGGATGCTTTTAAATTCCCAAAATCATCCATAATTAATCGGCAGCAGATCAACTTAATAAAATTTAGCCTGCTAAGCAAATTTGACTTAATTCATGTTCTCGAACTACGAATGCCTGATCGAGTGTATGCACCACGAAACCCCAAAAATGTAACCAAGATCAGTTTTGCCCTTAAACTTCTTCGCGTTCGCCAGTTTCCAAGCAACACACTCCTCCTAAATTCAGTTCCCACGCTTGACTTTTCTACCCTCTTTTCATGGACCACTTACAAATTGCAACTTCTTTCGGATTTGTATTTCTGGTCACATGGTATATGATATCCTTTTAGTTCAGCTCCTTGTGTACCGATGGAATGAAAACAAAATTTGTGGTGAATGCTAAATTTTGTGGGGCCTCTATTCACTTAGTGATGTGTAAACAGTGCCGTCCCGAAATTCTATTCCGCGAATCAAAACCCAACCATTCATTACAGCGATTTCATCGGCTTCCTTTATATAGGTCATTCCATGTGTTACCAGGATACGCGTTTTATGCTTCAACAAACCATGCGGACCGAGAACCTGAAAGAACAAAAGTTATGCTAAATCATAATATATGTAAAAAGTTGCTTGGCTGATTTCAAAACATTCGTTGGAAAATACACTTTTGCGTGAACTATGTGAGCCATGTTGGACTGAGTTTCTGAAGATGAGTGAATAGAGTTGCAATTACATAGTTACAATGGTGTAACCAGGATTTTCTCCTGGGAACATGAGAGGACGCAAAATAGTTTGATCCCAAAAATGTTTAAGTTTTGGGATCGATTCTTCTTTTTTTTATTTTTGCTTGGTTTCCTCTGTTTTTTCCTTTACCCCCCTTCTCTTTATTTTCACTTCCCTCTCCATTTACCTTCCCTGTTCTCTTTTCCTTGCCTCCACTCTTCTGGGGAAGGAGGGGAGGGGGCCCCTCGACTACGCCCACGCTTAGTTAACATTTTAGCAGAGATGGGCAATAGTTATCTATCGCTAACAAGTGAAGTAGCGAAATAGCTATTTCGCTATTTCGCTAACTAGCGAGGCTGCGAAATAGCCGAAATCATTGAGTAGAAGCTTCAAAGCTGTGACCATTTATCATTGCAGCGATGTGACTGACCTTGTTGAAGATATGCTTCCCAACATGACTGTCAACTGCAGAGAGTGGATCATCCAGTAAATAAACATCGTAATTCTGATAGACGGCTCTTGCCAGCGAGACTCGCGCTTTCTGTCCACCAGATAGGTTGATTCCCTGCATCAGTCATTCAATAGTTTATAAATTCATCAGATCAAATTGCTCACGTTTAAAAAACCATTGAAGTATATAGTGAAATAAATTCAACCAAAAATACATCATAATTTTCTGCTCAAACAATTTATCTCAAATACAAATAATTTGACTCAAACAATTTGTCTCAAATACGTATGCACGCACAAACCTTTTCACCAATTTCAGTTGAATCACCCTGTGGCAATATCGCAATATCAGGCCTTAACGCGCACGCATGAACCACACTATTGTAAAATTTCTCATCGAATCTCTTCCCAAATGTGATATTCTCCCGAAGCGTAAGATTGCGAATCCACGGTTGTTGAGGGACGTAAGCTAATCGTCCATGTACGCCAACATACCCACGAAGTTTCTCCATTTCACCTACATATAACAGTAGGTTAACACCATGACTTGGGACTACATCATCATATCACAACATCATCCGAATACCTCACATGAAATGAAAGAAATTACACGTCCGAGAGCAAACTTTTTTGGAAATCGGATTGAAAATCAAAATTTTCTTTAATCTGTGAATGGATTATGTGAAAGAAAATTGAAAAACATCCGAAAAAATCAGTCCAGGGAGCCGAATCCACTCTCACGTACCTAGTAGGGCATTCAGAAGGCTGCTTTTACCACATCCCACCTTCCCAACTACAGCTAACAGTCGGCCTGTTGGCACCTTCAAGTTGATTTCAGTCACCATCGAAGTGAGTGCACTTATATCATTTGTTTCCCAAGCAAACGTTGCATTTCGAACTTCGATCGCAGTTTGTTCGGCATTTTCTGAATAGTAACTTTGAAAACCGTAGATATTTTTTCACATTTGTTAACCGATAAGTTACTGAAATCAAAAATTTGGGAAATTGAATTGCCTCGTTCAATGGTTTTTCATAACTCTTTTAAAACATCTACTAATTTCCAGTGAAATTTGTTCATTTAAAAGCTACCGTCTTTGCGTTGAGGAGCCCGATCAATGGCCATTTCGTTAAGCTCTTCCGCCACCAAGAATTCTTTTAGACGCTTATTTGCGACAAGAGCCTGAAAATTTTGTTCTTGTCACTTGTTTGTTTTTCAGAAAAGATGTTATTTCACTCTTCCTGTTCACTTCTGCTCACCTTTCTATTCTCAAAAGATGTACTGACTGAAATTGCAAAATTGCGCTATGCTCACTTTAGAGCGGTTGATCTGTCCCCCATCTCCAATCAGTTCAATGTAATGGTCACAGAAAATGAGACTGACTGACAGTGCGCAGGAATCTTAAGCAAAAAACAAGATTCGCAAGGACTGTAATGTCAATCTAAAGAATGAGGTGCTTCAAAGAGAGTCGGAAAAAATCAAAATTGTATGATAGTGGAACACTTGGACACTTGCTTCATAAGCACTTGTTTCAGCCCTAAATCTCTTTTATTCTAACGGATCAATGCAAGTTTCCAAAAGGACTATAAAGACGAATGATTGGAATTTGTCTATAAGTTCATATCAAAATGAGATGATCCGGATGGAAATATCATAAAATCCGGAAACATTTCAGCACGCATCTCAGCGATAGTCAGTCCACCAATTATTTCATTCAAACAATCGCACTGTGAACTTACTTGTACTGTGAGCTGTATGAGATAAGCGATCATAGTCATTGGTGATCGCAGTTGATTGAAAAGAGTTAAGGAGACAAATGCGATTTGTGGGGTTAGAATGTGCGATGGATCGCTTAGCGTATAGGTGAGAAACGTCAGGAACGCGACCTGAAATATAAAATGTCAATCATCTTAAGAGATTTCCGGGATCTTCAGAAGATGAATCTGTTTGAATAGCATCATAATTGAAAAATTCATCATCTCAAAACATGCAACTCAGCAACACAGCCAAACATTACTGAATAAATGAAAAGATTTTTCTCCCAATCGTATAGCAAAAAATGATCTGAATGGTTTTCTAGTTTTTCTTAGCTAGTGGCTCTCAGAAATCAAAACCAAATATCTTTAATGTTGATATGTGTGATTCTACAAGCGAGCATGCACTGTTATCACTTTCAATTCGTGATCGATTCATACTGTTAAATTCATGATCAATTTATCAAATCATGGTTTTGAATCGAATTCCAAGATCATGATAGTGGAGATCATGAAGGAAAGGAGAACAGAGAACATGGAGACTAACGAAGAACGGTGAGGCTGTATTGAATGCATCAATGACGGCTTTGACGAAACCGGCTTTACGAATCAGTTTCAACTCTTTTTCACGAATCTTCTCGATGGTCTCTTCCATTGGTGGTTCCCATGCGTACAGTTTAATCACTTTTATACCATTCAGAACCTCATTGCACATTTTTGAACGTTCATCCTTCAGTTTCATTTGTTGCATCTGTAAGTGAAATATTTGCGATGTTACTATTCCACTCGTTATTCTCATTTTCAAGTTCAGTTTGAGTTTGATTCTTAAAATTTGTGATGTTTCAGTTTTGAAGGAAATAAATTTGAGGAATCATTGGCCGAGCGTGAAGAAACTACCAATTAACGAGCAAAAATTGCAAGGCATGGCTCAGTTCTTCTTCGTGTTTATAGAGCTCGCAAGTGTTTTCTAAGAATGTTGTGATTTATTTTACCTGCCATCTTTTGACAATAACCGAACCGACTATGTTGAGCGGTAAAAAGAGCACCATCACAATTACACCACAAATAGCCGACGCACCGAGCGTATAAAACAAGTAAATCAGTGCGAGTGTTATCTGAAAATGAACAAGAAAGTAGTTTCTTAGAACAACTGATCAGATAAACCGACGAAAAACCTCATGGAGATGGGACGGTGACTGACCGGAACGACGAAGGCAGGATATTAACAGTCATAAGGAGCCATTAAGCGATATGTCTCAACGAAGAATAGTTATCATTTGAAGAAGATTGAATGTGGAAGCATAGCGATTTTCGATTCGATGGAGTAATAATTGCGACATTCACATGTTAAGTTATCAAGTTATCTAGCACGGAATATTGTTCCTCAATGAATTATTATGTGGTGTATTTATTCAGTTGTCAACAATTTTAATACCTGAAACGGACACGACCAAATCTGTTGAATGTGAGGTGTAATCAACTGAAATCGCTCTACATCGATAGCCATCAGATTGACAATTTCACCGACTGTTTTGTTGCGTCTTGCAGCATTCGTTAACTTCAGCGTCTGAAAAAGTGTAATCTAAACATT